GGGGTGGGAGGGGAGGGTAGGGGGGTTACGGGCGGACGGTACGGTCGACGGACGGGACGGGGACGGGGGGGGGGAGGGAGGCAGGGCGGGGCTTCTAAACTGCACACGAGGCCCTTGCCACCCCCCCAGCTAGGGGTCAAGCATCATGGTCCTCAGGTCAGCTGGAGGCGGGGGATGTTGCAGCTCCCTGGCCCGGGGGCCTGGGCTGGCTGGTGAGGGACGGGGCACCTTCGACAGAGCAGGTCCCACCTCAGTCGCCAGTGGTTTTACGGTTTAAGATGTGAGGCCAAAGCAACTGACAAGAGACCAGCTGAAATGCGTAATGACCACATACACCCGGAGCGGGTTTGACTTGCCAACCCAGTAGCATCTGGGAAAGCCCCCAGTGACAAGGGAGGGCCCTGGAAGCGCCATCTGCCAGCCCAGGGCTTTGTCCTTGCAGCGTTGCAGGACATCCTCTGCTGTGGACTTGCTCACTTCCTCTTGTGTGAGGTATTCCAAGTTGGGAGGTTTCCTCGGGGCGTGGAGCTGACCAGAGCTGGCTGTCACCTAGCTACTTTGTGTCCTGCTTCCTCAAAACAGAGGATCCGAGACAGAACCCAACTTACTCTGTGTACCTGAGTTTATAGTCATTCATCCATCCATCCATTCATTTAACAGGTGCTGCTTTGAGCACCTGCTATGCTCCAGGCTGAGCATAAGGCTTTGAGGACGTGGTGGGAGCAGCCTTGACAGGATCCCTGTCTTGCAAGGCACGAGGTGGACCATAATCGCACAGAGAACCATGACAGGGGCAGGGGGCTTTTTGTCACCACTCTTATATGTAAATTCCAGCAGTTCTGTGGCCGGGGTGTCAGCACCACAGCAGCACGAGGGAAGTGGCCAGCACTGGTGTTCCTTCTGACCCACACTCTCCCTCTGCAAACCCCACATCCGACGCTTCAGCTCAGCTGTTGGATGAATCCCTCACTATCTGAACTCCCTCCATTCACCATCTGAAACTCAGGAATACATGGATTTAACAACACGTGGATCCCTCAAGAGCCATGCTTGCTGGCTGAAATTCCAGTGCTCGGACGCAGTAATCAAGTCATCAAATGGACTTGGACGGGGAGGGACGGGAGGAGTGGTAAGTGGATGGCGAGTCAAGGGCCATGCCGTGTTGGGTAGGAAGACGAGGGCCTCAGATCTTATGACTCAGTGGCGGATACTGAATGCAGGCATGCGAGTGTGTGTGCAGCAATACAAAGTGAGAATCAGAACCACCGACGGAAGACGGCTCAGACTCAGAGCTTTGGGGGTGCATCTGTCGCTTAGTCCATTTCTCATGCTCTGGAGCCAGACTGGACCTTAACCTGCTCATTTGGGTCTGACTTTGCCAGCACAGATTAACTCTGCAGAACTTTGTCCTTTCGAAGAGGCCACTTGGGGAGATAACAAAAAAGTTCCAGCCTTTCTGAGCAGCCTGGTCTCTCCAGTGGGTCTCTCTGGATGAGCCGAACATTGTCCTGTTGAGTCTGTCATCTTTCCTGGCAGCTGTCCTTTGACCCTGAAGCATTCTGTGCCGGTCCAGACCCCACAGACACGGGGGACCAGGCTCAGTTCTGCCTGGTGACCACAAACACAGCACTAACCTCCCAAGCCTGGGCCTGCTGGTGTGTGCGTTCCAACTCCCCCATTTGAGAGCGGAAATGACCTTGATTTGTAGAGGTGTTAGCTGCACTCCAGCTGTGTCTGAATCAGCAGGCTAGAGGCAGTGGGAGTAAGTGTCCCTGTAGCATGAAGCCGGAGGGCTGGGCTCCTCTTTCTACAGCGGAAAGCGAGTGCACGGACCTCTGGTGCCTTTGCAGCCCAGGATCCATATACTCCTCTCCTGGGAGCTTTATTCCCCCTTTTCCTTCTGGAGAAGCCCCCCTTATACACAGACACACACACAGCCTTTTCATCACAGCTCCAGGAGCGGGCTACGATTGCCTCTAGAAGATCAGCGTATCCCACTGCCCTGGTCACAGAGATTGGGTGGGGGATGGGCTCACAGCGAGCAAATCCCAGAGGGTTCACTCACCAGAGCGCTCTCTGTCCCTGCTCAGGGTGGCATGAGAAGAGTGATCTGGAGCCGCACGTGCGGCAACTTCACCATCGGGAAGTTAGAGCCTAGAGCTGTGCGTGGGGGTAGCGGTGAGTCAGGTTAAGAATGAAGCCAAGGGTAGTGACAGTGACAGGCAGAGCTGGCAAATGGTCAAAACAGGCTGGTGTAATTTTGATTCTGATCAAATAGAGATGGATAGTCCAACCTTTCCTCCCACTGAATGTAAATAAAGCCCCGGACAGAACGCATGAAGCTGCTGTCTGAGGACTCTGAAAACTAAATATGAATGGGGGTGTTTGGGAAGGAAACCAGGATTCAAAATACGACCAAACTAGTGGGGTGAGCCTCCCATTTTTTTTTCCTCCAGTAGCTCCAGGCCTGGGCTCAGAGACAGTGTGAAACCCTGAACTGTGCACGGGATACAGACAAAAACCATCTCCAAGGAAGTCCTCCATTTCTGGTCTGAGAAATGGGAAGGAGCCTGTAAAGGTCAGAAAGAGTGTAGAAAACCTTTGCTTGTTTGCATTTTTTCCATTCTTTTCTGTCCCTGCCCCCAGGCAATCTAGTGACAGTCGTGGTGGCGATGGCAGTGCCAGGCAGACAGGTGGCTGAACTTCGAGGAGAGAGATCCTTCCTTCTTACCAAGGGAACTGTGGTCCTAGGACCGTGGGGAGAAATCCCTGTCACTTTCTCTCTCCCTCCCTCTCTCTCGCTCTCTCATGCTCCCTCTTTCTCCCTCCTGCCACCCCACCCCGTATAAATATATCTCGTTGCTTTTTGGCACATTAGAGCAGAGAAACTAAAACCCTGGCTTTTTAGCCAGAGGGCTAAGGTGAGCATAGAGGGGGCAGGGTCTCCTGGGAACTAGAAAGTGTTGGGGGATCACAGAGAGGAGGGAGCTAAAGAAAGCTGTCCCATAAAGTAGTGTGAATGTCTGAGCTCACCCCATAGCTCCCCCTAAACAACATACCAAAGGGTTTTAGAACTGAGCCCCAGGGTCCCAGACAGGTCCCAGGTCCAAGACTAGCACACGTACCAAACAGATCTGAATAGCGCCGCAAAGCCCTAAAAACTGAACTGACATTGTTCGGCGGTTACAGCCCAGAGAAAGTAGGTAAGAACTTGCAGCCTAAACCTAACCGAGCTGATCGCCTGTTAAAACAAACCCCCAAATCTACTTTCTTCCATGGGGTTTAAACAAGATCTATAATCCCACTAGCGAAACATTCAAAATGTCCAGGATGTAACCCACAAGTACTTGATTATTTGAAGACACAAGAAGATCGTAACATCTCTCAAAAGGAAGAGGCAATAAGAGACAACAGCTCAGATGACCCAGCCGCTGGAGCTGAGACACTGAAGCAGCTGTTCCAGCCATGCTCCAAGAAGTCAGGGCAAATCCCCTTGAAATGGATGGGCATTTCAGAGAAGCAGATGATACAAAAAGAACCAAGGTGAAGTTTTAGAAATAAACATAATAACCAAAATGAAAAAACCAATTGGATGGACTCAATAACAGAGTGCAAATGACAGTCAGTAAACTTAATGATAGTTCAATAGATTAACATAAATCAACATATATCAATACCAATTCTCCAACGGAACAACAGAAGGGAAATAGATTGAAAAAAAAAACCCAACAAATCCTTAGGAACCCATGGAACAATACCAAAAGGTCTAATATTCTTGTCATCAGAGTCTCCGTAGAACAGGAGAAAAAGTGCAGTGCAGAAAAATAAATTTTTTTTGAATAAATAATGGCTGAAAACGTCTTAAGTTTTGGTGAAAGTCTTAAGAGTTACAGATTCAGTGAACACCAAAAAAGCTAAGCCCAGGGAAAGCCTGGCCATGTCAGAATCAAACTATAAAACCAAAGATGAAAAAGTCTTAAAAGCAACCAAAGAAAAACAATGCATTCAACACAGGGAACAACAATTTGAATTGCTGTGGATTTCCCATCAGAAACCAGAGGCCAGAAGACAATAGAACAGTTTGGGTTTTTTTTAAGTGCGGAAAGAAGAAACAAAGCCATCAGCCAAGAATTCTGTATTCTGCAAAAGCACCCTTTAGGAATGAAGTTGAAATAAAGACATTCTCGGAGGAAGGGAAACTAAGGGAATTTGTTGTCAGCAGGCTTGCTCTGAAAGAAATGCGAAATGAAGTTCTTCTGGCAGAAGGGAAATGATACCAGAGGGAAGCGTGGAACAGAAGGAGTGCAGGGAGAGCAAGAGAAATGGTAAATATCTGGGTAAACATAATGATTGGTTTTTTTCTGTTAATTTCTTTAAAGTACGTATGGTGGTGGGAAGCCAGAGTCATAGCATGGTCTGACGGGGTTTTCAGCTCATGGCCCTATGATGTGTGTGACTGGAAAAGCAAGAGGGGGGCGGGTATAGCTCAAGTGGTGGAGTGTATGCTTCGCGTGGTCCTGGGTTCAATTCCCAGTACTGCCAGTACTTATTTATTTAAAAATAAATAAGTAAGAACCCTAATTACCTTCCTCTCCCCTCCAAAATAAATAAATAAATAAAATTATTTAAAAAAAAAAAAAGGCAAGAGAGTGAAGGGACCTGTACTCCCCTCCCCCGGGCTCTCCCCCAACCAGGCTGAGCCCCAGTGGGCTGCCAGCCCGGCCTGTGCCCAGGAGGGCAGATCCTGGCACGCACCGCTCTTGCTCATGAACTGGCCTCTTGCAGTAGCCACCTCATCACCCCAGCACACAGGGCAGTCCTCCCCACAGCCCTCCACTCCAGGGAGGGGAGTCCCGACTGGCCTGCGAGGGTCACCCTGAGCATCCCCAGCAGATTCTAGGGCACAGGCCTTTCTGCAGGGTGGCCATCCTAAGGCAGACAGGAAAAGGTCTCTCATCCCCAAGCCCTTTCTTTAGAGGGAAAGGAGCTGCTTAGCCGCTGGGTCACAGCTCCAGGGCTCGGCCAGCAGGCCGGCGGGAAGCAGGAAGGAACCTCCTGACCCCAAGCCTGGCTCCCGGCGGCACTGGCCGGGGGGCTGAGGCGGGAAGGGGAGGAGGGCTCAGGCTGGAAGCGGCACCCAGCTGCCCGGCCCTTCTCGGGCACCCACTTGGGGGATTCCTCCCACAGAGGGAAGCCTCCTTCATCTGCTGCATGAGGAAAAGAGGAGAGGAGGATGGTAATGAGGGTGCAGAGAAAGCAGAAAGCACCACGCCTCCAGGACAGGATGGGAGCTGGAAGTGGGGGCTGCTCCCCTCCCTCTGGTTTGAGGCCCCCAAGGGTGGAGAAGGCGGGAGCCGAGCAGCAGGACTGTCCGTGACCATCTCAGCAACCTTGACTTGACCTGGCAGATTCTCGGTCTCCCCGTCTGGAAAAGGGGTGGAACAGCCACGTGCTGGGCTGCGGGGAGCGGCAGAGTTGTCTGCAGATTTCTTGGCTCACAGTAGGTCCTCAATAAAAGGTCCTTGTCATGGCAAGCGGCTTAGCCTGTACCCTGGGCACAGGCTGGGGGGTGGTGGCTGTGGCTGCCCCCCACCCCCGGAGTGATATGCCCAGGACTCAAACTTCCTCAGGAGGAAAGTCTAGGTAAAGACTCCTGCCCGGCTTCCTTAGCGGCTCTGCCCCAGCCCAGGAAGGCCCGTCTGGAGCACAAACCGCATTTCACTGAGGATTCTCTTGGCTGGAGCCAGTGGAAGGACCTGCTTGGCTGGAACTTTTTTTTTCCTTCCAGGCGACGTCTGATGGGTGTGTCAAGCAGGAGGTGATATTTGAAGGGCTGCGGGCACGGGCTGTGGACGGAGCCAGGGCACCAGGCAGAGGGTGAGAGCATGGCCTCCCGGGACCCGCCCGCCACCAGCTACGCCCCGCCTGACGTGCCCCTGGGGGTCTCGCTGTTCCTCACCATTCCCTACACCTTCTTCCTGCCGGAGCTGGTGAGTGCGGCCACGGGGGGCCCCCACGGGAAGCGGGGAGCCGGGGGAAGCCAGCCTGGCGCTGGAAGCAGCTCCCTGGGGAAGGGGCACCTGGGCCAGGGCTGCCGTGGCCTCCCATCTCCCCCACGGACTCAGGGCCGCGTGTCCCCTAATCCCTCCCTGAGCGTCCCTGGGCTTCAGCAGTGCCATTGGGTCTCCTCCTTCCAAAATGAAACCCACTGGAGCTTCCAGGCAGGTCCCCTAGCTTGGATTGGAAGATGGGGGAACCGTTGAAATGTCCCGGCTTCTCGGGGAGATGTTGGGAATGGACTTCTGCATGTGGCTTCTTTCCTGCAGCTACTAGTCGTTGGTGCTTTTCTAAAGTTCAGAACAGGGGCGCTCGGTCTTTCCTTCCGAGAGCAGCTCTTCCAGGGTTTTCTTAATGGTCCTGTCTGCTGGCTTTGAACTCTGGCCTGTGTGGACGCCCCATGGGAGGCAGCTTACGGCGACACCTGCCGTAAAGCAGCCGCGTGAGACGCCCTGGTTGCTCCGAGAACCTGTCCCTGAGTTCACCTCTGGGTCCCCGTGGCTGAACTGGGGCCCCAGCCTCTGCCGGGTCCCCAGTGTCCAACAGGACCAGAGTTGGCTCTGGGCCGGCTGTCCCCATGTCCTTTGCCCTGACAGGGACACTGCAGCCCGGTGAACGATTTAGGGTAGAGGAGTTTATGCTGGATTTTGAACACCTTCTGAAGCATCTAGCTTGTGGATGATGCTCCCTTACCAGCTCTGAGTTTGGCAGCGCTGCTCCCAGGCGGGGAGGAAAAGGAAGAAAGTGGTTCCAACTTTCACTCTGTCGTCTGCCTGGAAGGCCAGGCCGGACTGAGTGACCTTTCGGCAAACCGGCTAATGGGCGCCCATGGATGGCAGTGAGAAAGGGAGGCCAGGCAGGCTGGGCCCTGCGTTTGGGTGGCTCCAGCTGAAATCCCACTCAAGAATCAGGTTTCTGCCAGGTCCCCCACCACGGGGGACACAGATGAGGTGGTCCTGCCAGACTGACAGCATCTCAGCGCTCCTGCGAGTTCTCTGTGCTGGAACCGGGCGTGCCCTCGCCTCGGAGCAACTACAAGCATCTCTAGGTTCGGGGCTGACTTTTCCGCTTTCTGTGGAACACACGCTGTGTGTCAGTCACACCAGCCACAGGTGGCAGGGCCACTGCCCTCCCAGTTTTCCCCGTCTGCTGGAGAGGGGCTCTCGAGCATCCTCTCTGCAGTCAGACTGGGCTTCCCCAGACGGTGGCCGTCCTGGGCTGTGGTACCAACAGAGGCCATCCGACCTCGTCCCATCGGGGAGGGGTCCAGGTCCATCACTGAGGAGGGGACTTTGCAGTTGGACCTCAAGGGACAGGCTGATGGGGATGCACAAGACAGGGAAAGCTCTGGAATCCAGGAGCGACCAACAGGAAGGAGGCTGGAGGGAGGGGGCTTCTGGAATCTGACCAGCGGGGCCATCTTCTGCGTCCACCCCACAGTGCTGGGCGCCTGCAAATGAAAGCCCCGGGGGAGAAAAGTGTGTGGTTACACTGGGCTCTGGGGTCTTAAGTATCTTAGAGGAGGGGATACTGTCACTGATTCAATTTCATTCATTTACTTTTCCTCTGAAATAATTTTAGATTTATAACAACGCTAGTAATAATAGTACAGAAAGTTCCCATGTACTGCTGATTCAGCTTCCCTAAGGTCCACATCTTACACTGCACAACCATCAAAATCAGGGAATCAACATTGATGCTATACCATCCACTGTTCTACTGAACCTTATTCAGACTGCACTGAGTTTCCCACTAATGTCCTTTTCCTGGGCCTTGACCCAGGCCAGGATTCCGCATCGCAATTCAGTTGCTATACCTCCTTCATCTCCTTTAATCTGGACCAATTCCTCCGTCTGTGTCTTGACCTTTTCGAACAATACTGATCAGTTACTTTACACAATGTCCCTCCGTTCGGCCTTGTCTGATGTTTCCTTAAAAGAACTGTTTTTTCAATTAGCAAATCATCTTTATTCAATGTTGAGCACTTAGAAAATACAGAAATAATTATAATCTACACATGTGCATATATTCATACACGTACACATGTGTGTATATTTAATGGGGTTATTCTGTACATGCTGTTCTGCACCTGCTTTTTCCTCATATGAGCATTCCCAGCGTGGAGTATAGAACTGAGTGTACGTCATATCTGGGGTGCGGATGGGGAGGTCAGCAGGAGAGGAGGGGAGAATGTCAAGTTGGTGGCTAATTCCAACCCCACTTGAGCAGGAGACCGGCTGGCTGGAGAGCAGAGTGCAGAATCAGCCTAGCAGAAGCCCCCTCTGCCCCTGGCCACTGGGTGTGCGGCCTGCCGCCGCCCACAAGGCTGACCACAGAGCCCCAGGCCTTGGGGTCCCGGCAGCGTCTCAGTCTGGGGGCCTAAGCATCACGGACCGATGTAGGCTCTTCTAAGGCCACGAGTCCAGAAAGTGGGTAATAAAACTGGATGCTCAGGCCAGCAAAAGGGAGCAGAGAAAGCGAAATTCGTAACCTGGATTCAGGCGCCGTTCATGAAGGGGCGGCCCAGGTGGACATCAGTGGTGACTGCAGGGACACCTCCATCCAGCCACTGTTTCCCACTGCGAAGTCTGGTGAGCAGGCCCTGCACTGAGCGAGGGCCTTCCCACAGGAACGAAGGGCCAAAATTACAAGGAGAGCAGAATTAAACGAGGGCTCCGCTGAGGCCTCACGCCGCCCCCGCGGCTGAGCGGCAGCCTCCGGCTCTTGCACTTCAGTGACGATGGCAGACTAGGACGGCACAGACTGCAGGTGTCTGCGTGTTCCCGCCAGCTCCGCTCCCCGCCGCCTGCTTTTATAGATCTTTGCCCAAGTTGCTTTATTTTAGAGTCTTTAACACTAAAATGCACATTTTAAAACTTTAATTTTGTTATAATTGTAGGTTCAGAGGCAGTTGCAAAGACAGTTCAGAGAGGTCTCCCATCCACTCCCCTAGCTTCCCCCAGTCGACTCACCCCTCACAGCTGTCTAGTGCGATATCGACACGGGGTAACCGAGGTGCTCTGCCTGCACCTCTGTGCCATTTTCTCACGTGTGCAGATTCATGTAACCACCACACACAGAACCGACCCATCACCTCAGAGATCTCCCACCTGCTTCTGTTTTACAGTCACCTCCACCTTGTCCTCCTTCCCCCCTGGAAAACACTAATTCCATCTCTATAAGTTTGAAATTTCAAGAAAGTTATAGAAATAAATGGAACCATACAGTGTGTGGTCTTTAGAGATTGGCATCTTCCACTTGGCATAATTCCCTTGAGGTCCCTCCAAGTCATGTGTGTACAATTAGTGCCTCCTTTTCACTGCTGTATAGTATTCCACAGCATGGATTTACCATGGTGTGTTTAACCATTGACCCATTGAGAAACATGCTGGTCATTTGCAGTTTTTAGCTATTGAAAATCAAGCTGCTATGAGCATTCACATACAGGCTTTTGGGTGGGTGTGATTTTCCCTTCACTGGGGTAGTGTCTACGTGTGATGGCTGGGTTATACAATAAGCGTATGCTTGGTTTTTATTAAGAAATGGACAAACTGTTTTCCAGAGTGGCTGAACTGTTTTACATTCCCATCAACAACGGATAAGACTTTGAAGTTCGTATTTTGTTCAGTTAAATGTTGAATTCAGATTTCTCATTTGAAAACAATATTAACTTCCAACCATAATCTCCAAGTGTGAGAAACCTTTGAATCAGTGCACTTTAAAGTGAGAACAGACGTTGTTTGTTCCCTCCCTTTTTCATTCAGTGAGTGTGGGTGCTGCTGGTGCCAGTGCTGGGCGGGCCTGGGGACCAGGTGACTCACAGCCCCACTACCTCGTCTTCAGAGCAAACAGCACGCAGGTGGCGGGCACGGGGGCAGGGGGCACGTGACCGCCTGATGGCCTGCCCGCAGCATCTTTACAAGATGAAAGGTGGACACAGAGCTGACCCAGGCGACTGTGACTGAGGGAGAGCTTTGCGAATAAGAGTCTAAGGAAGTCCTTTAACTTTCAACCTTTTCACTGGTTAAGTTATTAATTAGATACTTGACTAATTACAAACAGCTAAGAAGCTTTCTAGAGTCAGCCAGTTAAAAAATGAGACGATTTGGACACTCTTGATGCTTTCAGCTTCCTCACTCACCTACACAGAAGGAATTACTCTGACTCCCCCCCACCCAGAGGCTCCTTCCAGAACCTTCGGGGGGGAAGCTCACCTTTATGTCTTATCCAAGTCCCCCATTTCTCCTTCACGTCAGCTGGTTTCTTCTTCTACTCTGTTTATGTGAAAGCTCACTGAGCCCCGGGGCCATCTGTCAACTGTCTGGGGCCGAGAGAGGGAGCTGGGTTCGTCTCGGGCCTGGCTGAGGGCGGGTATCTCCCCTCTGTCATAGTACTTCCGTAGAGGTTGAGTCTCCAAAAGGGAAGTCCTTTCCCTGTTTTCCTCTGCTTCCTTTTCAATTCTCCATGTATCCGGGAAGCAGCAAAAGTAAACTCCACTGGCCCCCGTTTTACTTCCTCTTTGTGGCTTCTGTCCCTCCACACTTCCCCATGACGTGGCCTCATCTGCAGACCCTGCTGGATGACGGGCCAACAGCCTCCGTGCTCAGGGCAGCCCTGACCCCAGTGTAATTACGCCCAGGGAGAAGAGGGCAGAGGGAAGGGAAGTTGAAGTGTGGGGCTGGGGAAGGGCAAGGCCCCTGAGAAAAATGGGAGGGGCGATGCGGAAAGGAGTCGGACAACAGCCTCTTACTTGGCTTCCCAGCCAGGCTCAGCTCTCACCCTGGGAGCCCTCGGTGCATTCAGATTCAGTAAATAGAGCCAGGATGGGGTAAGCCTGGCTCTGCTACTTGATCGCTGTGACACCCTGCGCAGGTTACTTAACCACTCTGAGCCTCAGCAATGGGGAAAGCAGATGTAAAGTTCTCCTAAGACA